ATGGATGGGAGGGGGGGGGTGTATTTCCACTGAATCTCCTTTCCTTCTGTTTTCAATGTGGCCTTGTGTGGTGGGACCTGGCCTGGTTCTTATTTCAGTTCTGGGCATCTCCAGCTGGATTTGGAAAGCTAATCTGAAACTAAGCACCTTGACTTCTGTAAGAATGGGTGGGGTGTATTTCCACTGATTCTCCACTTCTGTATTCAATATACATTTTTAAAAACGATCACTCTGGCTATTTTTAAGACACTTGTATTTATTATTAATTAATTAATTAATTTTTATTTAGAAGTATGAGCATGGCATGGCAGTGCCACACAGACATATAATGGCAGGCCCCACAAGCAAAACACTGGCCCCCTCACCAAAAAGTTGTTAGCTACGGGACTGCAGTAATTCCTCCTTCCTTCTTGGTGTTTTAATTGTTATTTTTATTGTCTTTGTACATATTTTAGATGCGGCTTTAATTATTTGTTTATATAAAAACATTTGAAAACTGGAAGCATTTCCCTTTAAAGGGATGGTCCCTTTAAATGCATTTTACAACTTAGCTGCGCTACGAGTGAACTTTGAAGTGGCAGGTTCACCTGGAAGGGTGAACTCGCCACTTTGAAGTTCACTTGTGACGCTGCTTGCAAAGGATCTGCATGTGGTGGGGAGGTCTCTCATGTAATGAAGGGGGTGTTGGGGAGAAAACATTTTTATTTTTCGTTCATGTCACATAATTACTTTTTACTTTCTGTATTTTTATACTATCTATATATCTAATAGCGAAGGCGCCCCCTGCGTGCAGATACTTATTCCTGCAAATCTGGGGCACGCAGGGGGCAAGGAGATCTTTCAGCACATTCGGAGCATGCTCCAGTTGTGCAGAAAAATCTGACATGTTTTAAAAAGTATACAAGGGAAATTTAAATCCTTCCCAAAAGTTAAACGGCATTCTCTACTGACAGATCCCCAGTAGAACACTCGGGAGCCCAAGGGAAATGGCGTGGCTGCACACGCCCCGCAAATAACGCTGGCGGCTACAACCACCCGGCAGCACAAACCGCCACCTCAGAAACCGTCTCTGCGGGTGGTCTCAACTTAGGCAGAATCTTCCAAGGCTTATCGTGTTCCTGCGGAGGAAAAGGAGCATCCCCCCCCTTCACGGTACTCAACACGACAGAAACCCGGTGTCTCAGGAGTTGGGGGGGGGAGGGGCTGGCTCCTGCAATTTCCGAGTGCCCACAGGCTCCGAGACCCCATCTTTGGTCCAGCTGCACTCCAGGACTGCAGAGCAAGAAGTTGCCTGATAAAGTTGCCATTTGCTCTCTCTCTCCTGTTTCCCCACCTCACACTCAGCAAGCTTGCCTGCTCTGCCTGCTT